TGCCCTTAGTTATTAAAACAAATGCAAGTGTGTATGATTTTAGTCACAACTTTGGCAATTGCCTCCTCTTCATGGTTCTGTAAAACAAGACGATTACGTGCCCTTACTCCAAGATAAGCTAACATCCAAAGACTTCCTGAGGCTCCAGATTTTCATTTCATTCTGTACAGACAGCATCAGGGATGGAGAGAATGGAATAAGGCAGAAATAGATACAGAGAAATACTTCCCATGCTCACTGGTTTGCCAACTGTCCCGTGGGTGGACCAGCAACTTCATAATCATGCACTTCAAGTCACCAGAAGAAATAGCTTCTCTCACTAGTGCCCCTTATGTTGAATCAGATGTAAAACAGAGTGGGAAATGTATATTAGTGGGCAGAACCTGCCCACGCATGTCAGGGAAATAAAACAGGTATTTCCGCTAGAATTTGTATCTGTTTGTTCATTGCTTATCCCTAGCATCTATAATACTACATGTGCCATAGTGGACACTGAATAAATATTTGTTGAACAAAGAGGAATTCACTCTACATTAAATTCTGGGCATTACCACATTACTAGGTTGAATTTTCCTTAGAGCAAGGACTTATCTTATTTGCTTTTGTGTCCCCAGCCCTGAGCACAGTTTCTGGCTGAATAATGTTTGTTGAACTAGATTTCAAGGATTAAACCTCTGGTTAAAACTTCAACTACATACAAAAATATGAATGACTTCTACAAATTTAAGTCCAGGGAAAGAAAACACAGCACAATCAAGTATCTCCAATAGTATAGGACCTATAAGATAATATTTATATAAGCAACAAAACCCAGCAAAACTGATTTATGCTGGCAGAAGTTAGGATAGTGGTTACCCTAGGAGGCAAGTAGTAACTAGAAGGAGACACTAAGGGAGTCTTTGGCAATAGTTGTAATGTTTGGTTTCTGGGTGCTGGTTATAAGAATGTTCACTTTACTGAAAAATCGTGGCAGGGGATGAGTTAAATAGGCAGAGCACAGAGGACTTTAGGGCAGTAAAAATACTCTGTATGACACCATAATGATGGATACATGTCATTATACATTTGTCCAAACCCATAGAATGTACAACACCAAGAGTGAACCACAATATAGACTATGGACTCTGGATGATAATGTAGGTCCACCAATGGTAACAAATCTATCACTCTGCTGGGGGAAGTTGGTAATGGATGAGGCTATGCATGGGTCAGGGTAGGGGGTATATAGGAAATCGCTAAGCCTTCTCATTTTTTCTGTGAACCTAGCACTGCTCTAAAAATATGAAGTTTTAATTTTTAAAAGTTGAGATGTATACTTAGGGTATATGCGCTTTTCTTTATTTTTAATTTTTTTCAAATTGATTTCAGAGAGGAAGGGAGAGGGAGAGAGATATAGAAACATTAATGATGAGAGAGAATCATTGATTGGCTGCCTCCTGCACACCCCACACTGGGGATCGAGTCTGTAACCCTGTCATCTAGCCTGACTGGGAATCCAACCATGACCTCCTGGCTCTTAGGTTGACATTCAACCACTGAGCCACACAGACCCGGCCTGCACTTTTATGTATATGATATTTCGATAAAAAGTTTTCTTATAAAAGTGAAAAATTTTTCCTTTGTCTGAGATGATAATGAATATCAGTCATTCAATTCTAAATTCAGTTGTGGTTTTCTGTGGACAAGGATTCCATGGATAAGGATGTGTAAAATTATACATGCATTCTAAATTAGTTGAGTGGGCTATCCATTTTATTATCCTCTGTAAAGCTAAAAAGACTCAACAAGCGCATGTCCTATAAAGTGGATGAAACTCTGATCCTTAATATTTTATGGATTCTTCTGAATATGTTTGATTTCGATATTATGACTTGTTTTTGTATCAGATATGTTAAAGAATCCCACAGTCCCTATAAGAAAAACTGTGCCCACTCCATCCCATCTGCACAAACAATAGACTTGGGGCAGTCCAGGTAGCTGTGTTTCATACCATACAACCTCTGTCTCTCTCCTCAGATTATTAAGGCAAAAAGGACTCAGTTTCTTACCCAGAGTAGCTAATTCTGAGGTTGGTCAGCATGGCATAGCCCAAGTAGTCTGGGTCAAAAAGATGAGTTGGACTAAAGATGAGTCCCTTCATGGGGTTTAGGAATCAGCAGAGATAGAGCCAGCTGGCAGAAGGGCTGAATAGAAAGGATGCCGTTGGGTTGAGTTAAATCCATGTCAGGCAGAAGTGTGTACAAGACACACTTAGGAGAGGGCACAATGTGGAGGAGATGTGTGTGCAAAAGGGAAGTGTGTGTGAAGGCTGGAGCAGGGAGCCCTCTAGATCTGTGTTCTAGTACTTCTCAATCTTGGTCACACTTGGAATGACCTGGTGAGCTTTAAAAATACTGGTACCTGTTCTCAACCTTAGGGATTCTGGTTATATTCTATGCCTGGGGAGCAGAGGACAGAGAATGAGGATTCAGCTACATCAGAAGGAGGTCAAAGCTAAAGCTGCCCATCATCCAGCTGAGAGGCCAGAGATGGGGGCCCACAGAAGTGAAAGTACTGGACAAGCACATGCGTGTCCTGATTGGTTACTGAATCATTTTCCTACCTTGCTTCTCACCTCTCCTAGGGACCAGGAAGGAGCACTCTGAAGAGGGAATCAGGTAGCCTTGGTTATAATTCCCACATGGCTCTGAGTGGCCTTGAGCATGTCACCCCTCCTCTCTATATCGTCAAATCAAAGGTCTAGACTAGATAACGTTTTAGGTCACTTCTAACTTGAGAGATGCATGACTCGTTACTTGCAGCGTTGTGGGCTTCATTCCTGGAATAGTAGCTATGGGCTTTGTATGGGGAGTGGTAAGTCTACAGATGGCTGCATGGGAATGGTAACCCTGCTGATAAAATTTCTCTTTGTCTCAAATCAGACTGCTCAAATGGTCACGCCAGGGTCCCATGGCTCGAACGACACCCACTTCTTTAAAATCTGTCTAGTCATCTGTGACATCTTGATTACCATCAGAATTGTCATTGGCCCATGGGTGGGCTATATCCTGTCTTCCAATCCAAAGCAGATTCTCCTGTCTAAGAAGGGGAGATAATTTAGGCGGCTGTCCCATACAATATCCTTCCCCCCCGCCACCTCAGTGAGGACCATTCTAGATGAAGAAGAGAAGAGTTGAGCACCAGGCTGTCACTGAAGACCACGTTGATTAGATACAGAATAAAGAATCTCGTTTCTAAGCTTGTAGCTGCCACTTGTTATGCACATGATGCATTAAGTAGGTGAATATATTTCATGACCT